TTTTAATTGAGATTGGGAGTTACTAATAGAAAATGAGAGCCTCTTTCGAAGTCGGGTATTTGTTAGTTTCGTATTTTTCAAAGCACTACTTAATTTTCGAATTTTTTGTTTTAAACCAAGTAAATTTTGCTCTTGATTTTGATTTACGTGTTGGACAATGGGCATACCTATGATGTCATCGAGAATAGTCGAACTAGAAAGGTGAACAGAATCATTATGACGAGTTTCTAGTAAATCTTGTCCCGTAAAATGTAAATTGTTTGAACTAGCGGCAGCGTACGTTTTATCACTGATAGATTTTTTAACTACAAGGTTTGAAACGTCTTCGATTAACCCATCAATTTCGAGCTCGTTACCTATGGTTTGTTATAGATTACTGTTTGAGAGAAAAGAAAAATATTCCTTACCATTTAAAACAATATCTCCTGTCTTAACGTCATATTTAAGGGGCACAGCAAAGATATGTAAATGTTTTTTACCCCCACCACTTCGAATGCAGGATGCCAGAAAATGATTTTCACACAATATTTTGTTTTTAAGAGCGTCATCATCCATGTCAAGCAATAACACATTACCACAATTTATAATCCATTGAGTTGACATCGAGAAGCATCTTTCACAGGAAATTTAAAAAAACTTAACTGTGGAGAATTTTTCCTTGAATTTTTACAGTTCACATATACACAACAGTGACTTGCACTTGTGACACTAAATCTTTCACTTGCCATTATTGTTTACGCTAAAGATTTAAACATAACGCAATTATTTAAACAAAGGTAAACTAAAAGTTCAACTTGGTATACTTCTATAAACACCAAATCCACGCATAGGCCGTCAGCCCAGCGTATAAATATAGACCATGATTGCGTACTGTATGCCGTATTGGTTTTTCATTTAATAATGGTAAATTAAAATGGTTTTTAAAAAAGATATCGCACCGATCAGATGTTATTTAGCTTTTGCTATACAATACAAATTTGTATTAAGTTTGGAACTTATTTAATATCGTATTTATAACTAAAATATTTATTTACGTTATAAGACCAAAAGTAAGATTTTCCGCTCGAAGTGTATAATGATGTGTAAAAAATGAACAAAAAATTATTTAAAAACTGTAAAAATGTTTATTTATATACAATGGAATATTTATTAATTATATTTATTTTTTTAACGGCTTCGGAATATTACAACTTTCATTCTGATTTATAAGATTAGTTTTTTTCTATAACCGTACGCTTTTTTGAAAAACATGCAATTTAACAATTATTCAATGTCAAATCAAATACTCAAGAGGTTATGTCATGTTTCAGTTTTTGAAATTAATACTTACATGATAAGCGTATAGAAAAAAATAGTGTATTATACACGGTGGAAAATTAGATTTTAGCGCTCTCGCGATTGCTTCCCTCCGCTTCGCGTCGGGAATCAAACATCGCGCTCGCGCTAAAATCTACTACTTTTCCCCCTTGTATAATAAATAGCTATTAAAACCCATACATGAATATTGCTACGTACAGTACGCGATTAAAAAAGAGTTCTTATTTTCAATATTACTTTTTGACATTACTACCCACGAGAACCTTATGCATTTTTGTAAATAGTCTTTACAAGATGTAAATTTAGTTTTAAGTCATTTTCAAACCGTGCGCGATTATGTAATATATTACATAATTTATTTACATATATTTTTAAAGTTATAATATACAATGTGATCAAAAAATGCGTGACCGGAAAAAATCGATTATTAGGGTACATATTGCCAATATCTACTACTACTTTTGACATTCTTAAACGCGGTTTTAATATTTTATAAAATATACTGATATACAGGGTGATTCCTATAGTACCTGCCACCGTTTGGGAGCGTATAGGGGGTGCGTAGGGGAGTATTTTGATATAGGACACTTGGGGTCGGAAATCTAAAATAAGGGTGCCAGAGCCAAATTTACCTTCTGGAATTTCGCGCCTGTATGTAGGCAACCCAACCGACCGACGTTTCGCGCGGAGCGATGCAGAGCGAGTTAGCGCGAGGAAGCGACATGGGAGGGAAGGAGGGAAAACGACAGTCAAAAGCAATAACGTTTACAAGTGTTCAACGTGGCCACCGTTGTTCTCAATGCACTGCCTACATCTAGCCAACTATTATTATACTATTGCCATAGTGTTTATTCACTTGATACGCGTCGTTGCAGACGGGATTTCGTGGGTTTAAACAAAATTCTGATCATGTGTCAGCCACACATCGCCGCCTGAGATCGCTCCGTGTGCACCGCCGGCCGGTTGGGTTGCCTACCTACAGGCGCGAAATTCCAGAAGGTAATTTGGCTCTGGCACCCTTATTTTAGATTTCCGACCCCAAGTGTCCTATATCAAAATACTCCCCTACGCACCACCTACACGCTCCCAAACGGTGGCAGGTACTATAGGAATCACCCTGTATGTATTTATTATAATATATGACATACGTGGTAGTAGATATTAGAAACATGTATCTTAAAAATCGATTTTTTTTGGTCAGGCATTTTTGATACCGAAGATTTTCCGCCGGATTTGCTTTTTGCGAACTTCCTTTTTATAAACTCGGCATACGGATATCGTTATAAACAACTTAATAAACTTACACTTTTACTTTACATTTCAATTTATCATAATCGCATGCATAGGTAGTAATCAAATATCCAAAGAGTATACCGTACGCGATCTTGGTCTAAATTTATACGATGGGCTAACAAAAGATGTAATACCTACACACTTTTTTCACTATCCGCACATACAAATTTATCCGCTAATAGTTTTATAGTTGATACTGCAATAATGATTATTATTTTACTAGTTTTTACAAACACGATTTAGGCACATTAAACGCATGTATAGGCTCCGGGTACGGGTACCTTTAGAGTTTAGACATTACATTTCAATTACAATACGATTTCGTGTTTATTCTCGTACCTCGCTTAACACGTAAGATAAATCAGGGGACAGCTGATTTTGCAAAATTCTGCATAATGAAACAATAAATGTGTGCGGTGAAGAGTCGGCATCTTTGATGCACGGCGTCTTGCACGACGTTGTTTATCTTACACATGAAATTAAATGCTGACGTTTGAATTTGCGCAATTATTTCACTGCGGCACAGATATGTGATACCTATGTCTTTTATCTATGACTGCAGACTATCTTATAATTAAATACTTAAACTTGAGCTGATCGGTTATTATGTATGCTTATAAATTTCTACTACGGACCTGGATTTTAAAAGTGCTATTAGGTACGTAGAAATCTGCGAGGAAGTATGAGATAATTGCGTTTTAGTTCATGTACCATGCTGCAGATGGACGATGCAAACTATCCTAACGAGTAGAACATGCAATCGGCGCAAATTGTGCCGCGTGGTTGTCTATCTTCCTCGTTATATGTTAATCAATGCTAAAACAAATATACAAAATTTCAACAAAATCCGTCGAGCCGTTTTCTCAGAAAATTGCCAACAAACGTACGTACGTAGGTACATACAGACGGAAAAAAATTTTATTCTTTAAAAGTTGCTTAAAATGGTCTAAAACGTCGACATTTGATGAAATTTTGAAATGTTCAAAAAACGGCTATCGCAATAGCTACCTAGCACATGCTAGGAAGCTAAAAAACAAAACTAAATATAAACAGATTGAATACTAAAGAAACAATAGTTCACTTTTATTTTAAAATTAAGTAATGAACTGCTAGGGTTTTAGTGTCTGTTAGTCGATTGATTTACGACCAACGAAGTGCAGATTTTTAGCTTCCTAGCATGTGCTAGGTAGCTATTGCGATAGCCGTTTTTTGAACATTTCAAAATTTCATCAAATGTCGACGTTTTAGACCATTTTAAGCAACTTTTAAAGAATAAAATTTTTTTCCGTCTGTACGTACGTACGCACGTACGTTTGTTGGCAATTTTCTGAGAAAACGGCTCGACGGATTTTGTTGAAATTTTGTATATATGTTTTAGGCATACCGAACAGAAAAATAACGGGCCGGATTTTTGAAAAAAAATTTTGGAGCGCCGTAACGGCATCGAACTTTTTTTTTCAAATAGCAACCTAAAATTTTTATTCTATTATTTGGAAGACCTTATTTTCCTGTGTACAACCTACAAAAAATTGGGCCGGGTTATATTATCAAAAAACGGAGAAAAAAATTGTCAAAGTCAAAAAATTGTGTTGCATATGTGCAAAACGCAACGATCTTGTTTCTGAAGCAATTTAAACGAAATTTCTAGGGTAAGTCCCTTTAATAAAAGCAAACAAAATTCATGCGCAAAAATCGTGTTGCGCATGCGCAGAAATGCAATTTTCTTATTTATGGAACAATTAAAACGAAATTTGGATGGTAGGTCCTCCTAATAAAAGAAAACAAAATGCATGCGCAAAAAATCGAGTTGCGCATGTGCATAATCCAACTTTCTTATTTATGGAGCAATTTTAACGAAAATTGGATGGTAGGCCCCTCTAATAAAAGCAAACAAAATGCATGCGCAAAAATCGTGTTGCGCATGTGCAGAAATGCAACTTTCTTATTTATGGAACAATTTTAACGAAATTTAGATGGTAGGTCCTTTTAATAAAATCTAACAAAATGCATGCGCAAAAAATAGTGTTGCGCATGTGCAACATCCAACTTTCTTATTTATGGAGCAATTTTAACGAAATTTGGATGGTAGGTCCCTCTAATAAAAGCAAACAAAATGCATGCGTAAAAAATGCACCTTTCTTATTTTTTCCGTCTGTATGTGCGTACATGTTGGCAATTTTTGGTTTCAGCTAGGAAGCTATTCTGTCAAGAATTTGACACCTGGTTTTAAATACTTTCACAACACAAACATTTTTCCATGATATTTCATCTTCTGAAATTCAAATAGTGATAAGAATTTTAAAAAAACAGCCTGTATCATGGCAATAGCATATTTGCTTTATTCTGTCTGTTTCTGGGGATTTTTATTCATGAATGAGATCAAAACTGTATAAGTCTGATGAAAATTTAATGCTTCAAGAAATATTTAAATGAGTACTTACAGTATATACAAACAAATTTGCTTAAAATGCAGAGTACAGGTTATAAAATGCAACCACTACATTTGTGGAAGAATAATTTAAATAAGTTAATTATGCATTAAATCCCTCCTATAGACCATTTGACTTAATTTTATAAAATGTACAGCGAGAGGAAGTTGTTATGCCACTATGTACTTACAATACAAAAGAATGAATATTATTCTCTTACAGTACCTTTGTTCTTAAATCTACGACGAGCAAGTTCTGACATGCCAACAGGGCCTAAATGAGCTGCTTTTGGGGATACCGCAATTGCCCTAAATGTTGCAGCAACGGTTCCTTTTAGATGCAATTTTTCATTGGCATTTATATCAGATTTTGACTGGAAGCCTGGTACAATCACACTTTCACGATTTTGGGTAATATTACAACGATTTTGTACATGATTACTTGGGTGCTGATGACTAGCAGGATTTAACCAAAGATGATTTCGTAAATGAGAAGCCAAAGGTCGTCTTTGAGGTGACAAATGTAGCATATCTACCAGTAGATCTTTAACTGATTGAGATACATTAGACCAATGCTCGCCCTACGATTAAAAGTACGTTTATCAATGGATTAGTATTCACAACGGTTAATTACCGTAAAGTCCAAGCGACCGGAACTAATTCTTTGTAAAATTCGCTGTGGGCTATCATTGGGTGCAGTGGAATATGGGCACCGACCAGATAGCATAATATACAATATTACCCCTAATGACCAAATATCACATGCAGCATCATACCCTTGCCTTTTCAACACCTCCGGAGCCACAAAATTGGCAGTATAGCATGGCGTCATTAACAAACCATTATCAGCTCTCATCTATATATAATTTGGGTATATAAATAATTATGAAAAGCTAACATTCATCTAACCTGTTTAGCAAAACCCATATCACAGATAGTTACACTCTCAGGAGTACAGCTCTCTGAAGCGAATAATATGTTAGGAGGTTTAAGATCACGATGAACCACACCATTTTCATGCAGGAAGGCCACTGTGTTCACTAAAATCCTTAATATTGACGACGCTTCTCTTTCAGATAATCGACCCTGTAGAAACACATAAAGATATTACAATGAACGATGAACAATATAAAATACCTTGTTTGCAATATAATCTAATAAATCACCACCTCGAAGTAGCTGAAGAACAAGGTACACTTTGCCAGCTTCCTCATGTACGCCCTTAAGAGATACTATCCCCGGATGATGGCCATACCTTAATAAAATTTCCACTTCTTCCCTGCAGTCACAATTAGTTCTATTTATAATCTGAAACGTAAATTTGTTTAACCCAAAGTAATGGTAAAAAGAGATGCAATTTACTTTAACAGCATAGTGATGTCCCGTAGCTTTATGCCTTGCTAATCTACAAACACTATAGCTACCAGTCCCCAACTCGTGCAACAATTCATATTCATCTAAAAAGTTCCCTGTATTTGTCCTAACAGATTTGAATGGAGTTTCTTTACTTTGTGACATAGGACCATCTAATAAACCAGGTGCCACAAAACTAAACCTAAAAGAAAGCATTCAATGGTGCGTTAAATTTTAAAACGCTTACCCTCGGAATAATTCATGTGCGGTCGCACTTGCTGGAACACCAGGAGAATCGCGCGGCGTTTTACTTGTGAATTCGGAATCAAAATAGTATGCATCATCCGGACCTGATACTGCAGGCTTAAAAGGCGGCCTAATTTTTTTATTCACCAACGCTTCCCAATCGATAGTCGCAAAAAATTCGTGTCGCTTTAAATCCTGTAACAATGTTCTTACTGTACACGTTCCACATCTTTATTGCGTAATCAAAAATTATTGCAAATTTTATAAATTTTCCGCAAAATCAATAATTGCTTTAAGTAGAGAGGAGATTATAGATAATCTGACCTTCAGTACTCCAGATTTTACAGTAATCTGAAACACAGTAATCTTTGCATTATCTGTTGCCCCTTACAAGAAATACAACCACGATTGCTGCTTTTCGAATCTTTAGCTACTTCGGATATTCTTATTTTCCAACCCAATATTGGGCAAATCTTAACATTCCTAACCGGTCACTTTAATAATGAAATTTTCTATTACCATCTAAATGACTTACACTTATTTATTTTCTCATTGGACTGGAGACGGGAGAAAATGACATAATAATAAATAAACTATATCGCGTTTCAAAGAACAAGTCGGCCTATGAGATAGACATAACGAAAAGGATCAAACCATCTGAGCACCCTTTACGATGGCAAACAAAATTGCCCAGCTTCAGCTCTTCATGAATATTTATTAGAAAGAACACAACTGCTGCATGGGGACACCAAGAAACTTTTCCTGTATTTTACATGCCGCTGGATTAAATCTGCCCTAACCGAAAGTGGAATAAATACAAACATTTATATACTCATTCCACGTCTGTGGAAAACCATAGAGGCTGATATAATCAACACGGCATCGAATAAACCGAGGGTTCTCTGGAAGATCGTAAAAGGTGAAGCTGGAGATAACAAAAAAAGTGTTACAACTACAACCAAATTGAAAACCAACGAGGGCATCATCGAAGATAAATGGGCACAGGCGAACTATTTCGGAAAATACTTCTCCTCCATTGCAGACGCATTAGTCGCGCAACGTGGAAGCATTAACCAGACGGCATGCACGGCCGTTCATCCAATAAATAATTCAATGTTCGTATCTCCTATAACCAAGTGCGAACTCTTATCCACAGCCAAAGCCCTAAGAGAATCTTGCTCAACAGGCGAAGACGGTATTTCCTCGAAGATATTAAAGTTAGTGTTACCTGCCATTGCGTCGTATATAGTGCTCCTATTCAACGAGTCGCTGATAAGGGGAGTGTTTCCCCAAATACTTAAGACCGCGCGTGTCATACCGATCTACAAGAAAAAGGGCAACATCGATGACGTCTCGAACTACGGACCGATCGCCATACTAAGCTGCTTCTCCAAGTTATTCGAAAAACTGGTCCACAACCGAATTACAGCCTTCGTAAACAAATTTGATCTGCTGCCTGCATCGCAACATGGATTCCGCGCAAGGCACTCAACGGAAACCGCTACATTTCACTTACTGCAGTACATCTATGAAGCGAAAGACAAAAATAAACTTGTGTATGTGTTATTTTTTGATCTAAGTCGAGCTTTCGACACTGTTAACTTCTTATGTGTACGGAACAAACTATTCAACTTAGGTATAAGAGGTGCCATGCTAAAATGGATTATCTCATTTCTTACAGACAGAGACTTATATGTTGATTTGCAGGGAACCATTTCAGATAAATTTTGTATTAACTTAGGCGTCCCTCAAGGGTCGGTGCTGGGCCCTTTAATTTACTTGCTGTATGTAGCCGACCTGCCGAACTGTGTAAATAGTTATCTAGTTAGTTTCGCTGATGACACAACTATAGCTGTCTCAGCCGATAACATAAATACTCTTATACAAGCTGTCGATACTGCGAAAGACGAAATGAATGACTGGTGTACCAGAAATCGTCTAATATTAAACATGGAAAAGACAGTAGGCCTGTATTTTGGCAAAAAAGATATCCCGCCGATGCCACATAACGAACCCAACTTGACAAAGTTTTTAGGTATTGTTATTGACAACCAACTCACCTGGACCGATCACACTGACCACGTATGCAAGAAACTAAATGTCGCATATTATATCATTTTAAAATTAATCCACATCCTGGATAGACAATCCCTAATTAATGTGTACTATGCGGTGGCTTTTCCACACATCGCCTATAATATATTGGCGTGGGGAAGTACATCGGAGGCTTCTCGAGTGTTCATCGCACAAAAGAGAATCATTCGCCTTATATTTGCACTTAAACCTAAAGCATCGTGCAAGAATACTTTCACCCAATTCCACTTGTTAACTGTCCCATCGATCTATATATATAAGCTAGGCATATTTGTATATAACAACATCAATCTGTTTGACCGTCTGAACACCCATCACAGGTATCCTACAAGGAACGGTAATTTGTTATCGATACCCAAACATAGATCTAGCAAATTCAAACATAGCCCACTTTACAATGGTATCAGAATCTTCAATGAATTGCCTCCCAACATCCACATAGCCAAGACGCCATCTTTATTTAAAAAAAGATTAAAACAATATCTAACGGGGAGAGCTTATTATAGCCTCAACGAAATGTACATGTAACATGAGATCAGCACAGTCCATGCAACTATTATAGGTACCTTATTTGTTTGTGTTTATCTTATATTATCTATCTTGTTTGTAAACCTTTGACGTTGGCTATATCATTGTTTGTGATCTACTGACAGAAATACATTATTATTATTATTATTATTAATCAAAGCAACGACTGGATGATCAACCCACCATACTAACTTATTAGACACCCCGTCCATCTTTCACTACAAAACATCACTTGGAAAACAATGAGGCCCACTTGACCGGCAGGACTTGTACTTTTAGGTCTGGCTTCAAATGTGTATACACCAAACGATTTAGAGGGTACTACAAGTTGTCTATGATCGTTTTGGAAGTGGCATCTCGTAGGCTCGTACAATAAATTAAGATATCACTTCACTTAGATTTGTTTATATTCCAATTACTGTACAAATGGACAATATTTAGAAATGGGTTCTGCATCCAATCGTTCTATTCAATTTTCTCAGTGATCTCGAATCGTTAATTAGGCAGATAAATGTTTATAGGTTGGCTGAATACTGTGTGCATTGATCCCAAATCAAAATCCTTAAATTCCAAACGGGCTGTTAAAAATTTTTACAAACACTTACAATAAACGTTGGGCCAGAATCAGTAAAATTAATTGTAGTTGAGCCTAAGAATTACTTTCGTCGTGAAAAGAGTGCGAATGAACACACAACTTGCGTGATATTACAAAAACAAGTTTTATTTTTCAAACACACAAATAAACACACTCCTGTTAAGATGGAATTGGACCAACAATGTCCAAAATAAAACAAACAAAAAATAGGTCACATAAAGGTGCAACATCACTATTCAATCTAGCGGAAAACAAAAACACCTGCTAACATGTGATACACAATAATGTAAGTTCACTGCTTCCTCTCTCTGACACAGTTGTAGTAAAGGTAACCCTTATCTTACGTTAAAGTAATCCCCAACAAAAACTTCAATCGCCGTCCAACGCTCTAATGGACGCACAAAAGCCTCTTTTGAAAATCAGCACGCGCGACCACCTGTCTTTATTATACACCATGATCTGTACCTTATTGCAAATTAACTAAAACCCGAAATAGTTTTGATTTCATAACAAAAAAATTTTATATGTATTCCACCGAACATTAAATGTTTACCTTACAATTAATTCAAAAACAGGACAAAAAAGGACATCGCCTGGGTATGTGAGTTTCAGGGTAAACGAGTCTGTCCGAAGTTGTCCGATGAGACACGATTTGAGATTGTCAACCTATAAATTAACAAACGTCAATTGATTAATCGCCTAGATATCCCAAAAAAAGCAAACTTATTCTTATTTGTGGACATATAGCAAATAATGAAGAGCATTTAAAGCTTCCCGTACTACGCGGTTACTATAAAGCTGCTCTTTAAGCGATCCTAGTGGTGTTTACACGACTTTAGTTTACCCTGAGATTCACATACCCACGACTACAGTGCCCTCTATCCGTGACCATCCATTTTGTATTGAAAGCATAGGGCGAATAGCAGTCCATGTATTATATGGTCTAAGGTTTGAACACGCATGCGTTACAAATTTTTCGTTTTCGCTATGGAAAAAATATAATTACGTTGTTTCAGAACGTAACCTTGTGGTGGACATTACACTATGGATGTTCTACATGCACAAACTGGTAAGTATATATGCTGATTCGTGAATGTTAAAGTTATTTGTTAAGGAAAATTCTGCTTTAACACAATTTTCTTTATTGTACATCTTAGATTTGCAACTAGTTTGCTGCAAAGTGCTTTACCAGGGATTGCGAATGAGACTCGTATAAATGGTAATGCAACGATTAATGAAAATGCATGTTAGTTTTGAATGAAGAAGAGAAATTGTTTTCGAAGCAACATTCCCAGAAGAAATTCTGGGGAGAAGTGTTCATTATCATCGTATTAAGTATGGCCGCAGCATTTATGATAGAAATTCAAAAGTCGTCTTCAATATTTTATTAACAAGAAGCAATATCTTGTGTAAAGCGAAGAAGTATGTGTCAATAATTGGTACTGAAAAATAAAAAAATATTTACAAACTTTTGAATTCATAATCCACCCCACTTTGTATCCTTTACGCATTACGATCTCCTCAACGGCGTCCATGTTGAAAAACTGTTCACTCACGCGTGACGTCACACCGTACTCAAAAGCGTTCCACTTAAGAGTTCGCCCACAACGCCTCTAAGCTAGTGGAACGACAAAACCGCGGTCGCGGTCGTGATCGTTGTGGGCGTTAAGTGGAACGTACCCTGTATATACCTTTTTAAAAATCATGTAAGACGTTTGCATTGTGCTGAGGTACAAAATACCACTCATACAGTATTTCTAATTATGTTTCCTTCATAACAACATTTTTTTGGAGACGTTTACCGTAAGTAATAGGTAGGCCGAGTACATCACTTGACTTCAGCCGAACGCGCTCTAACTACTTTAAAGTAGGACATTCATTTTCTTTATTGTATTTTAAATGGAGAACTGCAAAGGAATGCAATTGGTTAAGGGTGCCCCTTCAAGTGTACGATTACACCTAATTCTTTTTGGAAATTAGCGAAAACCATTTATTTTCGGCAAGATTAAGTAATAATTTTCCCCACTTCCTAAAAATGAAATCCATTATTACAAAAAGTAATTTACTTATAGAGGAATAGTGACGAAAAATTTGTCTTGAAGTTCCTTCAATCTGTCAGGATAAGCTAATCGTTGGAGCAACATGCATAAACCTTCAATACCTAAGAAGAGCGATTAATACATAGTAAATGACGTCCTTTTTAGGTATTACCATCCACAATGTGCTGGTCACATGTTTCAAACCTGTTGGGTAATTGCAAAGCTGAGTACAAATGTTGTATGTCATTTTTCTCAAATCGGAATAGGAAACTAAAATTATCTAAGGGAATGGAATCAAAATTAAACTTATTTATGGAATAAAGTTTTTTCTTTTCTGCAATTGCTCTTTCTAAAGTCTCATATAGAATAGCACTAGCAATCATCATCTTCTAACAAAAGTATTTCATTTTCAGACAGCTTCGCCATTCTCACAACATAGAAAGTGTAAGGTTAGGAAATCTTTAAAATCATAAACAATAATAAACCTATCCGCAAGCGCGTTTCACTAAATTTCCCTTACATCATAAGAAAAAATGGCCGTCTAACGTAACGGAAAATACGTGTCCGCAAATTCGCTAATTACGTTTGTAAAAAATATCCTAGATACATGAATAACTAGTTTTTCTGTAATGTCAATAAATTGATACATCTGTTCTGTTCGAATATATTAATAAATAATTATTAAAATATACAGTGAATTTTTTTTAAATGCGAATATAGGAGTTTGCATGCAATATAATTTCCCTATGTTCGATTTAAAAAAAAAACACATCAACCTATTGAGTAGTTCAAATGAGTAGTAGATACAATTGACAGCTGTCACATTTTTAAAAAATACCGCCGTCAAATTTAATTACAAAATCCGTAGGTTATTGCTTTGAATGTCAAGGAGGACACTTCGAACATTTATTGTAATTGTTTTCGTTATTTATTTTCTTCATTTATGTATTGAATAGATGAAATCAGTAGAATAGCAGGTGCACATGACCTACAAATAATTGGAGGTTGGTTCACAATGAGTTGTGATGTTAGCGCGTGCCCTGTGGGATCAAGTTATTGTAAGTTTAGGAAAAATTTATCCTAAAGTTGCTATGGCCTCTCATAGCTTCTTTAAAAAAATCTTACCGACCGCTCTTCATCATCAGACTAGGTATAGAGTTACTGTTCATAGTCACACAAGTTGCGTGTTTTGCTGGTGGGAATGTGAACCGGGAACACTTCATAGATTGATGTGTTTTTTTTAAAATCGAGCATAAGGAAATTACATTGCATGCAAACTTCTATGTTCGTATTTAAAGAAAACTCACTGTACACATGTTTCTTATACATTCAAAGAACCTACGACCTACAAATGCAACAGAAATGTCCGCTATTGGTCCAGAAGCAGTCCACGTCTAAACATAACGTCAAGGCATCAACACTTGGATACAGCAGGTGAGCAGGACGGTGCACCTGCAGATAATTCTATAGCCGTTTTGGAATATCTTTCAATGAGACTTCCAAAAAAAGTTATTAGCACGCGTTCGGGAATACCCAGGCCAGTACGTTCTTTATGAATATGTTTATCAGCAAAATTTGGCAACAGAAGAAGAACTGTGGGGTATTAGAATCGACTGTTTTTGCAAAATAATTAAATCTTTTCGAACATTATGCTCTAAATGTAGTTGTTTAATTCAAATTCGTTTCTTGTATTGTAATCCTTATATATTCTGTTAATTTAATTTGATTTGATTTTTGTTGTTGTTTCCTTTAAATTATTGTATCAATTCATCTCCTTAGATTGATATTAAACATGTTGATATAAACCGTTAATTGCTAATTATTTAATTTAATTTTAATTTAACAAATCCTTTGTACAGGTACTCTGTAATAGGAATTTTTTTTATTAACCTCTGTTTCGTTTTCATTAAAACTCTAGCTCTATTTTGAGCAACATTTTATATTCCTATTTTCCGCGAATTCTCCCACCTCTTATTCCTGCCTGTTGGTACCTAAAAGTGATAAGAAGAATGAGGTGAGAGTGGAAAAGACAAAGTAGGGAGAGAGACGCGTTTTGGTGACAGCTAAAAGTAGGTGCCATTGAAATTAAATTCGATAATACCGGGCGGTCGCGATTCACTCCACACTCGTGAAGAAAAGAATAAGTTAAGGAGAACCAGCAAACAGGTAATCCATTTTATTTTTATAATTATTCCCTTCCGCAACAACCTCGAAAAAAAGACATAACCGCAATTAAACCATAAAGAGCTATACCTCATTGAATTCAGAATAAAAAGGGCTTTAAGAATGATTATTGGAATATCGAGGCCAAATTTAACAAGTTTAAAAAGTCATTATGCAAACATAAATGACGAGAGCGTATTTTTCCTTCTAATAACATTAATGCTAGTTTCATTCAAAGTGCATGCGCAAAACCAAATTTTAAAAGTGGTGTTAGATTTTTCCTAGGATTTGTCTTTATTCCAAATGCCCATGTATAAAATTTCATTTAAATGCTTTCATAAATAGAAATCACATTAAAATGCGTTGTTAGTTATATAAGGGATGAATAGCTTAATTTAATTCATGTTTTGTTTCTGTTTTTTTTGTATCTTTATAACTTTATATCGGGTTAGCTACTGTTTACTTTTTTTTCTCTCTCTGTATTAATAATCTTATTTGTGAATTTTCTTATGTTTTTAGATTTTAGTTCACATTTATGTACACTACCATTATAATGTTGTCTTTCTTCAATAATTGGATTGAAGTCTGTAGGACAATAAACTCTATTAATATTATTATTATAAATAAGAAAGTTGGCATTGCGCATGCGCAAAATAACATTTTGAAAACATCGATAATTTTACTTATATTCGCAGTGTTAGCTTTGCACATACGTTAAACCGCATTTTTGACACTGCGCATGCGCAAAACCAAAACATATGCACGGAATCCTTGGACCAAGCTCTATCAAATGAGCCCCATATCACCCAAATCGGTTCAGTGGTGTAGAAGGAGTACGTGTGACGGACGGACGACAAAGTGCAACCCATAGCACGGCTATGGAATTATTGCCATAAGAAATACATTATAAACTTCAAGGTAAAAATGCAAGGTTGATTCCCAAATGAAATACAATGTGATCAAAAATGAGTTGCTGTTGAGTTACCTTTGGAATTTTTTTTACATGGGAAATCGTACTTAATTTGAACGGCGTCTGGACAATAACTCATTTTTGATCGCCCGTTACCGAGTGTTTAGTATCATTGGATTTGTAATGTTTTTCTGACGTAAAAATCCAATATGGCACCCATTTAAAATAAGGGAGTTGATGTCAATCTCAAGAACCACCATTTTGAAAAAATGTTTTCTACATCCGTTGAATTTATCCCATAGAATCTTGCAACTTTTATTTGAAACATTTTTCAATAGCTCCCTTTGTTACTAAAATATTTGAACTTTTTTCCAAGAATATGTAGTTCGAAAAAATATTTCAAAAACCAAAAAATTTTCCGGGGATTTCTAAACGCTAAAATCTTCTTAGACCTTTAATTGAACAACTTTTCTCCCATTTAACCAAATTTGTATTTTTAACCGTTCCACCACTTGGATAGTTGTAACAATTTTTTTTTTAAAGAAAGTACTGAGATTAATCGATATTCGCAACAGTAAAACTTTCTTTCATTTCTATTATGAACAACAGCTTTTCATTATTAAAAAATTACCTCAATGCCTCCTGCACCTGCACCCAATCTATTAACAGGATTTCGTTTAAAAAGCGCACGTAACAAACTTTGCGCTTCTGGGCTAAGGTTTGATGGCATTCCTAATTTTGCTTTTAAAATTTGAGTCATTGTGTCTCTTCTAGTCGCTCCTTGGAATGGTAAAGTTCCAGTTAACATCTCATACATTAATACACCGAATGACCACCAATCTGCTGCAAAAGCATGACCTTTTCGATTCACAACTTCTGGGGCCATATACTCAACCTAAAATCAAAACAGAAGTAAGCAATTCTTATAAATTTAACACCACTTACTGTCCCACAAAAACTGTACGCTTTTCCTTCCTCCAAAGGCAATTTTGATAAACCAAAATCGGTTAATGCAATGTGCCCATCTGAATCCAGTAAAACATTTTCAGGTTTCAGGTCTCTGTAAATTATACCAAGGGAATGTAAATGATTTAAAGCTAACGCCAATTCTGCCAAATAGAATTTCACATCCTCCTCTGTAAACATAACCTAGATTCATAAATTGGGATAAGAGGAAAGAGATTATTATACTATCAAATTACTTCTTTGCTAAGTCTAGAAAACAAATCTCCGCCTCTCAGGAAATCAAGTATGAGGTACAATTTCCCAGCAGTTTGAAAAGCGTAGTGCAACTTGACAATGAACGCATGTCCAACATCAACCAGTATATTGCGTTCCATTTTAGTTCGATGTCGATCTCTCACTTTTAAAGTCGCTTTTTTTAGCACTTTCATTGCGTACAATGTTCCAGCATCAGCACCAACCACTTTTCGAACCAAAAAAACTTTTCCAAACGAACCTTCCCCTAACACTTTCAAGAGTTCAAACTGGGAAGGATCCGCTTTTTCATGTCCATCCCGTACTACCTACAAAAAAATATTGACATCACAATTATACGAATGTGTAACAAAAATTACCTCTTGCAGTTCAATTTCATGCTCCCGTTCAGTTGAACCCCCATTCTCTTCTATTCCACCTATTTCTTCAGCATCTCCTGACTATACAAATACATTATTAGCTCTAACATTGCAGAGAAATGACATAAAACAGAAACATATGTAAAACTAATAGTGAGGTAGTGAAGTTTGATTAGTAAAAGCAATGTAAGTATCTACTGATTAAGAAAAACCTATGTACAATTTTTTTAACTTACTTATTTCTCTCCGTCAGTTACTACTTTTGATTATCATGCTTTTCAATATTTTCGAAGTTTTTCGTTTCCAAAATCACCCTTTTGCGGCTTCAATCTCAACTCGTAATACCGAGCAAGATTGGCATATATGATCACGCTGGCTTGCGTTTGAGTGATGGCACAAGATGGATTCAAGGAAGATAAGTAGAAGTAAACAGGGTAGGATGTGCTGTTTACCTTATCTACTATTAGTATAATAATGATACTTTAAACTTAACAAATTCCAAAGTATTCTACACAAAACATTTGGTTGAAAGATCTTGCCAAATAGTTAATAAATTGTAGATAGGTTCGGTATTCTTACAACATGAGAAAGACGAGCAACTTTTTAAGTTTAAACAGTCGATTATCTATTTCTATAAATAATTGGAGTTTTCGATTAAGTGATTGTTGAACAGTCGACAATGAAGTAGGCAATGATTTTTTCCCATAATTAGTAATCAAATAATCGATGTTTTGTTGATGCTAAATCATTCGTCCATTAATCAATAACCGGTTATTCGAGTATTTAATAATCGCGATTTCGAGTTCAGTGGTAGGTATTAGTGCTCTTTGGGATTTAAACATGAAGCTTTTACATTTGCAATTTTTTGTGGCTATCTGACTTGGTTTTAATTTGACGTATAACTTCATACATGATCTGTCAGTATTAAGTTTTGTTTTGGTGAATACACTAAGGTTTGCAATTAATTGAATTTCTTTTACCATTTCTTATCTTTGTATGGTATCTTAATGTTTATTACTAACTTTTCTTATATTTACTGGGTGTGGCGAGTGGCAGTAGCCAAGAATATTTGCAATTGGCATTGCATTAATATTGACATTGAGCCACGCCGTGTTTGTGTTGCTTGGATGTGACGTCCTTGCGCTAATTAAATTGTAATTCGCAGGTTGTTTGCAATATGTGAATATATATATTTACATATTTATATAATATTTATAGACAAATACCGAGTCAAATACATAATAGTAACCGTATATTTTTTCCCAAGTTATAAGATAATCATTAAGCAAATTAGCTTTCTCTATATGCGTGTTTCTTGTGCACCAAAAGAGGGATAAATCCGAGGATAAATCAATAGTACTTATAACGATTTATCATACATCAAGTAATATGTGACAATTTTGCAACATGGTTTTTAACTCAGTTTTTAATTTCACAGTCAAGTCATTATAAGTTATGCTTGATGTACATAACACATAGAGGAGGTGACCTCAAGGGTAATGCATTTGTAACATGATTTATGAAAATTGCAACAACAAGAATATCGACAATTATACTAGAGAATACATTATATCAAATAACACCACTTGCTTTTTAAAAAAAATGGTAGCAATTTATCTTAAGCCCGTTTGAAATATTCAATTATTTAATACAAGTTTTAGTTGATTTTTTAGAAACAAGAAAATTGAACGTTGCATGTGTCAAATATTTAATAGCTTGTATCGAAACTGAGCTAAGTATAATGAAAGTTGTCCTATTTGTCTACCTATTGTAATGGTCCCAGTATATTTATCAATTTATCGGTTTATATATGTATCAATTCCAAGATACCACAAACAGAATCACGTTCGATTCGAGATCACGTTTGTTTCTGAGATACAGGATGAAAACGAAAAGTATAACTTTTTGATATGTTATCGTATCTTACTACCCATGTAAGACAGAAAAAAGGTAAAAACTGCCCATTCTAGATATTTTTACGTAGAATCCAGTGGCGCACTAAAAAGAAATTTTTGAAGCAACGTTTCTGAGATTTGACCCAAAGTTGGTATTTTTTAAATGCGACACCTCGTGCGACACCCTGTATATGTTAACGTCAATTTTTTGCATTTCCCAACTTGATGTATCACATCTTTTATTTTTTTAAATTTTATCCATGAACCCTCACATGAACCATAAATAAAAACCCTATTTTTGACAGTGTCTAATCGGTAGGCCATAGATTCATGGAGATTTTGTTATTTTATTGTATTCATGGCAGCCGATACGAATCAACAAACAAGGCTGACAGTAGAAACATCTCATTTCAAAATTTTGAAAAATATGATATAAAAGGCTGATTCAAACTCGAGGGAATCTCGGAAACTATAAGACATAGGTAGGTACGAGGGTAGGTAGTTTAAATTTGGCAAAGTTGCGTACTTTGATGTTTAATCTCGTGTTTAATACAATGCCGTTTTGAAACTGAAACAATTTTACTTTCGGAGATATCCTGAAATTTTAAGTTTGACGTTTTGTCCCCGGTACCATCGTCCACGTGGTAGTCACATTAGGAGTCTTTTGTAGTGAAGTACTTTTTTTTATCGAGGTTAGTTCTTCATTTGGAACTTTTTGACACTTGATGGGCTCTCAAACCAAACAGATTATTAAACCAGCAGTTATTTTCATAATATTTTTAAAAATTATAATTAAAAAAGTATTTACGATATCACACACACACACACACCATTTAAGAAAGAGTGAATGGCAAAAAATTAGTACCTTAGTAATGTTGAATAATTTGGTAAGTAATTGGTCAGAAAGATAGAAGTGATAATGAAAAAAAAAGAACATAGTATTATAATAGTATTATAATTCCACATAGCTATGTAGCTAGGTGTTGGAAATTATGTGTACATAAAGCAAAACATATAATGCACGCCCAATCAAAATGTTGGTATCTGTAATGTTTTGTGCTTACAGATTGTACAGGATATTACTTTGGAACACCTACTTGTATCGATAATTCCTCATATAAGCACGTGAGAAGGAGAAGTGGCTTATTTATCAAGTGCATCTGAATTTCGAAATCTTTTTGAGTTATAATGTCAATAAATGAGAAAAAAAAACCTACTCAAGGACCTACTACAATAAAACTGAAAAGTATCTTTTCCTTCACTCAAGGGGGAAACTCGGGGAAACCACCTCTCTCATTTTGCAAGAATATTTCCTCATAGAAGAATTATATTTCCTTTTCAGTCTATATTTCCCGAGATATTTCCTTATATTTCCCGAGACATTTCCTAATTATTACCCGTATTTCTTTTTACTCCCTCAAAATTTTTTACTCAATTTGAGGTTAAATTTACTAGGAATGCCTTCATAGTACCTGAATATTTGACCATAATTCCTAATATTGCCTCATATTTTCCCATATTCTTTTACATTTCCCCATATTACCTTATATTTCTTTGGAATTCCCCTTATTTCCTCATACTGTCCCATAATTCCGAGTATAATTCCTTCATATTATCACCAACTTTGGACAATATTGCTTTAGTGGTGTCATCCCTCAGTTTCACTATACACCATGACTTTGAATTTAAAAAAACCTCGAAAAAAACAGAACTTCAAATGTTGAGATTAATAAAATCTACGTCCTTTAAGAAATACCTCGAGAAATACAGAGGGTGTTTTTTTGGGAGCTTTAGTTAAACGTTTCTGGGAAAGTAAAATAGGTAGGTTTTTGAAAATTTGTACTTAAGGAGTTACTCTCCCAGAGCTCCCAAAAAAACACCCTGTATTGTGAAATGAAAATGAAATAAAAAATTCGTGAAAGTATTGTTTCTACATGAAAACTTATTCCTTTGCTCTTTGGTTTTTCAATTATACACAATAGGCTATGTGGTGTCCAAAGTAAACAATACCACCCTTCAATCCTCTGATAGAATAGGGACATTTTTTTTCATTTCATTATATTATAACTTTAAGGCTGGACAGTACACCCGTTTCGGTCCCCAAAACGCTTGATTTCGTTCCACGATATCTGAATGTTGAGTGAAGATGCAGATGGGGTCGAATATTCCTGTGAAAGGTGAATGCTTTAGCTCGACAATAACGCTGGGATTTCTTAAAATGTGTTGAAATAATCTTTTTTTTTTTAGGGTAGCGTAGAGGATGGTTAGGGAGCCATATTTTGAAAAATAAAAAAGGAAACAAAATGTTCCTAGCGTTATTACCTAGATATTAACTTTACGAAATTATAGCAATTTTGAAATTGTACCAACTTCATTTATTGATAAATTATCTTAGAAAAATGACTCAAAAGTTTACCTCGAGACGACGAAAATGTGCATTATAATTGCCCTAAGTTTATGTTTCTACCATCGAACCCAAATTAATATTATAAATAACCAAATTTGGGGATTGACAAGAGGCAACTTTACATACTCCGTTCTGTATGTACTGTCCAGCCTTAATGCCACATACACACGCTGGCACTAGCAACAAACTCCACATGTTTAGTGTCGCAAGCGCTTGTGGCAAATTCTCTTTGATTTGTGACAAAAAAACCATACGGATCGACTACAAACGCTTGCAAAGCTACACCAACACTCTATCCACGTTTGAATGGCAAGAGTGTGGACGCAGCATAAAGAATTCCAAAATAAATTGATGTGCACGACAAATAAGCCACTCTCTAGAAAATAGAACTACAACCTTACATCATTTTCTTGTATTCCGAGTTATATTTATGCTTACAAAGCTAGCAATGTATTAAAACATACTCTCGTATAAACCCACCGTTATGCTAACCTCATGTTAAGGGTAAAAGACATGCATAGAAAATGACCAGGGTGGGTGCTATAGCGTGCAACAACTGTGAGAGTATTAAAACGTAAATGTTTACGTACAGAGACTATTCTTAGGGACCTGGACACTCCAAATGCTGGAAATGAATAAACTTATTATAAAATATAAAACTTAGCTAAGCGTGCTAAAATAAATTATGGAAAATGCTGGAGAGTGGGAAATTATATACTTTTGCAAATACTTAAGTAAATTAAAATGATACATAACATAGCACTCTATTTGTACCCACCTCGGTATCGGCGTGTTGCACTTGCCATGGCTCGAAGGAATTAGCTAACGGCATGTTAAATATTTTATCCTAATTCTTATCATCTGTTACTTCACTTTTCACTTAATTTCTTTACGAAAGTAAACACCTTCAGCACATTACATTGACAACTGTTGCACATTAAAAATAAGAACATCAATAAAACCAATATAACTACCAACAAAACAAAAATAAAAAACCAAAAGGCTACGTTCAACCATTTACTGCTTTCCCCGAGTGCGTGAAGCACTGTTGCCGTTCGTTGGGAACAGCTCATTTTGCAAGTTGTTCATTTTGCACACATTTGAATTGACATTCACAGTACGTAAATAACCACAAGAGAGTTTCAAGTTTCAATTCGAAAATTGTATCTAGATACATTTTTAGATACTTACATTTGTTTCAGATACAGTAGTCAGATACTTATATTTTGAATCTAGATAACATACTTTATAGCAAAGAGTAACAGTACGCTTTGCTTATAGTAGAAAAAAGCAGTCTAGAAGGCCTCGGAATTGAATTTAAAAAAAAATTTACATTTAACCGTTGGGGGTTGTGTAAAAAGGTGATCATTCCTTTGAAACTCAAACGGAAATTACTATTCGAATGTTACAATCGTTTAATTATTTCACCAAGACCCACATCTGCCCTCATGCTGGTATATAATAAATCCTAGTTGTTAATACAAAATCCGTAGTTTACCAGAGGATAAATAGGAAGAAAGAGAAATACAAGTGAGGGAATATGCATGTGGTTTAAATTTACTTGATTCTTTCTCCAGCAAATATTTATTGTCCTGACATTATACTTAAACCATTAGTTTCTTATTTAGTTTGTTTTTAATTGCTAAAAATGTTAATTCAAAAGTGCAAAATAAGCGAACGAAATTCAAATTTGCGAAACGCTTCACTATTGGACGAATGAAAGTGACGTCAAATGCCACGCGATCGCATTTGTTGTGTCAATATTCATAAGTAGTAGTCCAGTCAAATTACAGTTTGGGCAGATTGAGCTGGGTGTTGTCATTTCACTCAACGAAATCAAGTGTCTTCTATGTAAAAAGATCCGCTGAATCCGAAAACCATAGTCCCCCTAGCCGAAAACTCCCGGAATACATTGTTATGTATAAACAAAGAACGATGAAAAAATGGCAAGATGTCGTTTCTTTTCGCATTTGACTTCAATTATCTCGTTAACTATTACTCTAAGGGAAAAAAATGAAGAGAAATGAATTGGTTTAGAATTGAATTTTCTATAAGATACAATGGGTATGAAACCTTCATTTTCAAATGTTATTGTTTTTTTATGGAAAAGTATAAAAAAGCTGAAAAAGATGATTCTTGCAATTTGATGGACTGTGGAATTTTTTTTAGTTAACTAACAAATTGAATAACTCCCGAAATATAACAAGGAAGGTAACTCTAATAGGCCCTTGGCTTT